GTTGCAAGGTGAAGTGATAAGAATGATTTGAATTGGCACTTCACTTGTTGACTTTTGTTAAGCTTGACTTGAAAACTCAGTGGATGCAGGACTCCTTTTACACATCTGTGCTGGACTGTTAAAGTAAAGAGGCTGAGAAACACAAAAACCCTATAAAGTAACCAAAACCAGAGCGTGATAAAATCATGTTAATCCAGTAACAAAGAGGAATAAATCATAAATCACATGTGATGCAATTCTGCAGGTCTCAGCGATCCCACTGACTGGGGCCACATCTCAAGTCACTTCCAGGGTCCCGAAAAAAGCCTGCCTCTGAGCCACTTGGAGAAGTAGGTCACTGAGGATTCCATTCAGTTGTACAGCGCTTTCCAAATAGTTGCGCTTTTCCACTCAGCCCAAGACCTCCAGCTGTATGTTAACCATTTAAGTGCCTGCAGGTCTCATTTCTGTATCAGCATAAAATCCCACTGTCCTGATTCACAAGCAGTCAGTAATTAGTGTTTTGACTCAGTTTAGGATTAGTGAATTTGCTTTTTATCCTGCCCACACTGTATGTATATAATAGCTTGTTTTAATTTCAAAAGTGTACTCTGTGTTTTAGTCAAATCCATGAAGGGGGAAAAAAAGATCTCACAGAACTATGTGCTAAAACTCTTTTGGGGAAGCAGCTTTTAAGTCACTGAAAACAACTTTAAAACTGAGAAACTCAAAAACCAATAAACTGCCCATACCAACTCAGAAAACAAACAAAAAAAACAAACAAAAAGAAAACAGCTAACTGATCTATCAGCCTTACCCTAGTACATAAGCACTCAAACAAGCTACCACAACATACCAGAGGGATCATGTAACCAGACAATCTTCCCAGTCTCCCTCTTTTCAGCTGCATGTGCTCTGACGCTAGGTCCACAGAGCTGAAATGGGCCACGGATTTCATGTTACCAAGCTGAATCAGCAGATTAGAAATGGCCACAAGATGATCGAGGTGTGACAAAACTGAGGGGCACGACGTCAAATTCCAGGATTTACAGAAGTTAGGAACTCATTTAATAACTTTAAAATTATTCCAGTGAACTAGAGGTGCAAACTGAACACGCAGAGCTGACATATATCAAATTGATAACTTCTAACTATTCAGAATACTCTGATTCAGACCAAGGACTTTGTCAAGAAAGAAACTCCAAATTACCCAATTTTCCCAAGTCATTCCACAATAGTATGATATGTTTTCTTAATAAAAGCATCATTACCTTTAATGTTGACCGGAAAAGGGGCGAAAAATGATCTGTTTTGATAGAAATCCAAATAAAATGCAGCTGTTCTGACATGTTCTATACTAATAACTACAAACTTACTCCAACTGATCAGTTCAAAAGCATTACGAAAATTCTAGGAGACTTTTCTTGAGTTATTATTCAAATGTGTGTGCTTCTGTAAATGTAGCAAACCCACAGAGTTACTTCACTTTGTAAATTCCTGACCTGATGACACTGAGATAAACAGACTCAGTTTTGAATCACCAAACCTGAACAGTGCAATTGTCCCTGATCTGTCTAAGATGTCAGTAAAATTGAGGAAATCCTTCTTACATTTATAGCAGGTGTGTGCCTCACTCTAAAGGAGACTTTGGTAACAATCAAACGAGTATTCTATACATTTCTTTTAAAAAATTATTATTATTATTATTATTATTATTATTATTAGTAGTAGTAGTAGTAGTAGTAGTAGTAGTAGTAGTAGTAGTAGTAGTAGTAGTAGTAGTAGTAGTAGTACAAATATTTGGGTACAGAGGTAGGTACCAACTCTCTTGAACTACTAGATTATAATTAGGCAGAAGCTGAGCGAGAGGTTTGTGTGACTGGTAGACAATTACTCCACAGAAGATGCCATCTCTTCTGTGGTTCACACCACCCTCACCCACCTGGAGCAGAAGAATTCCTACGTCCGTTTGCTCTTCGTGGACTTCTCATCTGCTTTCAATACAATGATCCCACAGACACTTGTTGATAAATTACTGACTCTGGACTGAGCTCCTCTCTTTGTAACTGGTGTTCTGTGCTCCGGCATCAACGTGTGGCACGGAAACTGCACTGTGGCAGAGAGGAAAGCTCTACAGAGGGTGGTGAAGCCGCCCAACCGTCACAGACATATACAGCTCCAGATGCAGGAAGAGGGCAACCTGTATCATGAAGGACCCCACTCACCCAGCACACACACTCTTTGTCCCGCTCCCCTCAGGCAGAAGGCTGAGGAGCATTAAATGCAAAACCACCAGACTGAGAAACAGCTTCATTCCAGAAGCTGTGAGACTTCTCAATGCATAAATGGACAAGAACTGCTATTGTAGCACCTTAATCACTACTGACACTGTCACTTTATCAATGCTGGTCATCATGCACTTTGCTGCTAAAGTATTTATTTATACCTACACTCTATATCCATACTGGTACTCAGGTTGTTGCACTCTAGTTATCATATTATTTATATTGTTTTATTACTTGTTATTCTGTTTGTTAAGAAATATGTATGTATTACTTTAAGAAAAAAAAACTCTGTTTCTTCATTATTTTGTTTCTTTTCGCTCCAGGACCGCGTGTACATAATTTCGTTCCACCTCATGTTAACATGTGATGCGAATGACAATAAAGCTCCTTGAATCCTTACTGCCCTGCCTAGTTACACAAATTAGGGCTGTGCGACAGGACCAAAATCTCATATCCCGATATAAGGCAATTCATCATCCCGACAACGATATATATCACAAAAATTTTACATTTTCTGTAAATTCTGTGAATCTTGGGCAACTCGACTTGGGTTTAGTGTTTTGAGCTGGGCGTCATGAACCTGGAGTAGAATGTTTTGACCGATGGATGAAACTGCATTTTTAGACATAGGTTGTAACAGCCGCCATTTTCTTTGTGAGTATTTATTACACAACATGCTTCCTCTCAGCTTCCCTCTCTCACACCGAGTATCTGTCGATACTGTTCACTAATCTGATATCAGTGCATACTGTGAGGAAGAAATTGGAGAGTTAACGCTGTTAACTAATGACACTTTGCTGCTAGCTTCCTCAATGCTACACTGGTTCTCCTGCAACCTGCTCCCATCACTGTCAAGTGCTGAAGTAAAGAAAAAACTGATCTGAAAAGACTGGTTCATAGATCCACACTCTGTCACCAATATGCGTTTTAGTTTTTTCAATCAGCGGTTCGGGGATTTGAACCTGCAACTGTTTATACACAGACTTATTAAAAATTTGGGACATGACAATTCTCCAGATCAATGTTTTTTACTTCTACATCCATTTACCTCTGTTTTTGTATGGCTTTTATGTTTTGTTTTGTTGAGAAAAACAAACAAATGAGAAATAAAATAAGTATCATCACTTGTTCTTAGCTGGGTCAGCTTCCATTAGATCTAGATGTTTTAACCAGGAATTAATAGCGCCACATGACCAATTAGGATAAGTCAGAGTCTCACAATACATAAAGACAGAGTCACAACACAATGCTGTGCACTTTTGTCACACCTCTAACAAATACCCGTATTTGGGGTAGCTCCTGTAGGGGTCTCCTGTCCAACACTCACAGACATGGATGAAGATTACTTGAAAACTACACTGGCTGGTAAATATAACAGATCATAATGCTAAACTGGACTACTTTTAAGAAAATTAATCAAATGAAAAATTCTCCAGCCTCCTTTGTTAGGAATTCAACTGTCCTGTGAGAATAAATAAATAAAATCAACGTCTTGCTAGCTGTAAAATTAGGAGCCACACTGAACATAACTGACTTAAATATCACCACAAAGACCATAAGTCTATCTCACATGATGGAGCACATTCTGAAAAGTAAAAAAATAAAAAAAAATAAAAGAGGAACAGCTGATGAATTAGAAGACATCAGCCCTCCTCCATCGCCTCTGTCCTCATTTTGCTCTGATCTCTGACACTATAAACAAGCCTGACTTTGGGAGGGGTCGACCAAGAGAATTTCATAAACTGCACTTTGATGTCTCCAGTTTTACTCAATAATAACAAAGACCAGCTTGTATTAACCGAAGCCCCTGACTGTGGTACACCCTGATAGAAACTCTGTAATATCTGTGAGTATCACTTCAGGCAGGTTTGCTGTGATGGCCCAGTGTTACCGCATACAGCTGTTGCCATAGGTGCACGGAGACGCTTTCACTCTGCTGCTGCAGCAGCAGCAGCACCGCTTCATTCTATTTTTCATGAGCTCAGTCGGTTGCCAGGGTTTTAGTTTCCATGGCCACACTGCAGTCTGATGGAACAAAAACCAAACCAGAATGCACGCCCGCTCCCCAACACCTCAGTTGTCTTGGCCCAGTACCCGCCCAGGGACCATCATGGCAATAAAGGCTGGCACACCAACCGACTCACCAACCACCCGTGGTGCCAGCTGAGGTAACATGTGCGAGTTCTCAACCTCCTCTCACTCTCATCTACTGACCAGCCAGGGTGCAGCACAACACCATCAATGATTCAGCAATTTACCACTCCTGATGTATCTACAGGAACACCTCACACAGGAAGTTTATTCTAATGCCCTTGGGATGCCTGCACCATGATTGTCTAGTGTCTGTTACAAGATTGAGAACTACAATGGAACAATGGAAAAAACACATTTCGTTTTAAATAAGTGAAAAACCTGACCAGAAACAGCTAAACTGTCACAGTGACTGTGATAACTGCTGCATCAATGGATTCCAGCTCTGTAAGTGGAGAAGATGCATCACTCTTCTGTAATAACTGCTGGCAACTCCCAGATTTCAGAAATATGCCTGAATAAATCTAAAAGCACAAAATCTACTTTGGGTTGTTTTTTTTTTCTCCCCAATTTCGCAGTTCACTCCTTTATGATAAGAAGAGTGAAGTTGCTGAAGGAGAAGAGTGCAGTGTGAAGAACAAACAAGTAATCGTAGTGTTTGTGAGTGCCTGTAAATGCATCTAACCAAGCATGTGGTAGTCCTACCTGGATTATTGGCCTCCCCCTCCAGGACCTGCAGCTCGGTGCACTCGGCAAGCGAGTGCTCCAGGCAGAGCTGCAAGAAGCGGGCCTGGGTTGGGCTCACCCTCTTCAGCAGGGACAGCAGGGCCACCGTCTGCTCGCACTCGTTCCACCCCTTGAACCAGCTGGCCAACACACCCACTTGATCACGAAACATCATGGTCTGCAAGACTGGGGGGGGTTGAAGGCTGGCGGATTGAAGCGTATATGCTCTTAAGACTGAACGGTAGCTTTACAGCGGTTATTGGTGTCTCTGTTCAGCTGTGGCGCTGTGTTACCATTCTAAGCTTTTTTTTTTTATTATTATTAGTCAGGTCAGCGGTCTCTGCCAGTATTCCTGGTGGAGCCTTCTCCTGTATGATAATCTCTGGGTTGTAAGGGTGAGAGAAGATGGGAGGGGGGTGTTAGTTGCTCTTCTTGCTGGGCATTAGGTGAAATCAACTCCTGCTGCTGCTTAGTCACTCTCAGAGCGATTGATATTTGATGAGTCAGCTTTCTTCCAGCACAGGCTGTGTCACATCAGCTTCAGCCTCACAGGCATTTTTCTTCAGGGAATCCCTCTCAGCCCTGCAAAAGGGTGTCAGATGTTAAGTGAGGGAGGGGAATAAAGGGAACATTTAACCCACGCTGCTCTCAGCTTCTACTCAAGTAGGTCTCTCCCTTCTTATCAGACCTCTACGGTGACTTTTACAGCACACTGAGAGCATCGTTAGAAACGCGACGGTGTCCCTGTTGCTTCAGCCTTGCTGCTGCAGTGGGGTAGTTTGAAAGAGAGGGAGGAAAAAAAAACCCTCATACTTTATAAGTCTCCTCCTCGCCGTCGCTATGCGAACAGGCTTGTGGCATTCACCACCGGGACAAAAATAAATAATTTGCGTTTTTTTTGGTATCCACCCATTCCTTAAAAATACAGCTGTCGGTACTAGTGGCGCTACATCCCGGAATTTTCCAAAAAGGACGCCGGGTTACCGACGGCGGCCACTGGCACGCCTGTGTGCAGCACAGACGATAGCACCGACTTCCCTCCGTTATTCTAATGACAGGTTACTTCATATCGGAGACCGAGATCCGGCAGTGAAGGCTAGCTTTCAGCTGTAAAAACCCTGCAGAGCAGGCTACGAGCCGACTCCAGGTTCCCGAGCTTTTACCGCTGTCTAAAACTGTCACTTTGCCTCATCAGCACACAGGGAATGACTGTCGGCGTGTGTTAGAGTGTACGAGGAGTTTGTAAAATGTTGTGAAACGGAAAACTCGGGAACAGATCCGTACATTTATCCACGTTCCTATCTAGAACGTTTCCATAGAATAACCGCGTAGCAGCTGTAAATTTAACTCAAGTTACCGTTAGCAAATTTCCCAACAGTGTTAGCCCCGCGAATAAAATTTAATGGCTGGGAATTCCACATTCCCCGCGACATTACTTGAAAAGTCCTTAGTCAACCGCTGTAATTTTCATTTAAAGACTGGGGTAGAGTTGATAAAACAACGGAGGGAAACAGCTTAGCTAAAAACTTCAATATGAGTGTTAATCATTGTGGGGAAAGCGGTTATTACACACACCGAACTTTAAGGTTCCTACCTGCTGGCGCTGTTCGCATCGTTGGGTTTGTCTCAGAACGGGCGGCAGGCTCGGCTTTTTCGGGGAGCGGTGCCCCTTTACTCCCGGTCTGTGGGATTTGCCATCTTGACTAACTTTTCCTCTGTCTCTCCCCCAGCAGACGGGCTCCACTGCCCTAAAACTCCACGGTTAAGTGAGCAGTAAAGTTGTGACACCGACTTCCCTCAACACTTTTCAAAATAAAGCTAAGCAGTAGCGGTGAGCATTTTTTAGAAAACGTCACTGAACTACTACAGTAGTTAACTATGAATATAGGTTTCACGAGGAAAGTTAGAATTCAAAGAGAAAAAGTAAGAATTTTTGGATTCTGTTTTTTCTCAAGATTTTTTCCCCAGAATTCTGATTCTTTTATTATCTCTTAGCTTGTATCTTTTATTATTGCTTATTTTAGAAATCTAACGTTTATCCCCTCAAAAACTGATTTGTTTGCCAAAATCTTGACTTTAATTTTCATAATTATCAGATGTTTTTTCCATGCCAGTCAACCTGTTTTGTATGAATGTACTGGGATTAACAGTTAAAAACTAGTGCTTCTGAAATGTAATTAAGGACAAGTATGAAGATGCAATACTCAGCTAAAGTACTCTCTGAAAGATGCTCCTGAATAGTATTTGATCAGTTTTTGTACTTAGTTACTTAGCACATTCGTGGACGCTTGTGATAGGCATTCTCCTTTTATTTTGAAGATCGGTGCAGTCGATATCCGGCCTTGTTTCGGCCGCCTTGACTTAAGGGGGGCTCGCTCTGCCCGTTTCCACATGCTAATCATTAACAGCAGAGCATTACGTCAGGGGTTTGGCAGCGCGAGGAAGCACCAAAATAGAGAGAGAGATATAGTCTAGTGGGCGACCAGCGACGAAACTACAAGAAAATGTAAGAAAAGGAAATGTTTCCAAAGCCACAGTTAATGAGGTCCACATCCACACAGGAACGATGCTGAATGTTTTAGTTCGTAGGTCAGGGAGACGTGGAAACTATTTTTAGGTGACAGACTCGACTCTATTAAGTGTCGGAATGTAACACGGTTCATTTACTCAACTATCTATGACTGGCTATTTAATTTCATACTGCACTGTACGTGTATTCAACTGTACTTCCAAGGGAAATTCGCTTCAGTATTGGAGAGCTGCTTGTTTAGTTTTTATTATAATTCAAAAGAAGAAAAACGACCAATTTATAAAATACAGCACACAAGGTGAAAATCTTTTGTGAACACAGTGAAAATACTTAATTACAAATAAAACTGAAAAGTACTTATGTATCATTTTGTCTGATGTATTAAAAGTAAATGTGTGTGTGATTTTTTTTGTAGAAATTCAACCCTGTGATTGATAACACATTAAAAATTGACATTACACAAATACTTATTTATTTCTAAAGAGGCCCACAGCCTCACTTGACTGGGAAACACTGTTCTGTCTGTTTCTTGTGTGAACATAAACTTGACTTCAGAAAATTAAAGTAAAACGTACAAGACTTAGACCACAATATCCAGCATTAGGAGTACACAAGCTTGTGAGCCCCTGAGGCTTGGTTTGTGTCTCCTGCTGGTCTTTAACTAAGCATCTGTCACATGTAAGGTGTTAACCACTACACCATGGAGCCAACGTAAGTACAATAAACTATTCCTGGAAGTAAATTCAACTTACTGCTTACTGTAAACAAAAGTAGATAGTAGATACCTGTGCATCAGCTCTGTCCCCTCCAGAGGCATTAAAAACATTGTTTACATTTTAAGGAAAGAACAGATGTTATCCAAATATATATATATATATACATATATCCATTGGCTTCCGCTTATCCTTTTCAGGGTGGGGGGCTGGAGCCTATCCCAGCTGTCATAGGGCGAGAGCCGGGGTACACCCTGGACAGGTCTCCAGTCTGTTGCAGGACTAACACACAGAGACAGACAAACCATTCACGCTCACATTTGGATTAATCAATTAACCTATCCCCACAAACTGCATGTCTTTGGAGTGAGAGAGAGAGAGAGAGATTTATGTAGATGGTGGTATGTAACTAAATAACTGCTAAACCTATTTATATATTTATTTATATAACTGCTGTACTTATTATTGCCCTGGAGCCCTGGGCACATATTAGCTTGCACAGAGCAACTCTAATGTTCTCATTTTTTGTTTTCTCAGTTCAAAAAAATGTTGGGCTGCTGTATAAAATGTTGCTACAAACACAATGCAGTTATTTACAAATCTTACAACCCATATTTTATTCATAATAGAATGCAGGAAACGTCAAATGTTCAAGATAAGAAAATGTACTGGTTTAAGAAAACACAAACATGAGGTCATCTTGAATCTGATGGTAGCAACAGGACTCAAAAAGGTCTGGACAGGGCCATGTTTACCATTGTATAGCATCCCCTCTTCTATTAACATCAGTCTGTAAATACGTGGGAACTGAGGAGACAATTTCTGGACTGTGGGGAGAGAAGTGCTGTCTTATTCTCACATTCCAAATGTTTTCAATTGGTGAAAGATCTGGATTGTTCAGGACTTTTCTCTTCTATGTGAAGCCATACTGTTGTAATAGTCGAAGTATGCAGTTTAGTGTTGTTCCGCTGAAATACAAAAGGTCTTACCTGAAAAAGAGCTCATCTGGATGTGAGCTTACCTTGCTGTCAAGCCTGCTTATACCTTTCAGTATTGATGGTGCCTTTCCAGATGTGCAAGCTGCCAATTCTATAGGTACTAACACCCCCCCATACCATCAGAGATACAGCCTTTTGAACTGAGCACTAATAATAAACCGGATGGTCCCTCTCCTCCTTAGTCTGCACAACGTGTCATCCATGTTTTACTAAAAGAATTAAAAAATTTTGAATTCCACTTTGCCTCAATACATTTTAAATGAGCTTTGACCCAGAGAAGACTGGATCATGTTCACATATGGTGTTTTCTTTGCATGACAGAGTTTTAACCTGCCTTTGAACTGGAAGTATTCCTGAGTGCATGCAATGATTTGTGACAGAAACCAGAAACCCCTCATGATGCGTGAAGTATGCTTCTGTGGGAAAGCTACATCATAACTTATGATGTAATCGGAAACTCATTTTAACACTACGTTGTAACCTCCTACATAACCCGATGTGCACCTCCCATAAACTGTACCTACACGTTGGGTCAATTTATCTCACAATGACTTGAATGGTGTGCAAGGTTAGGTAGTGTAGGGATAAAGGGAGTTTCCAGTTACAATGTCAGTTGTTTCAATTCAATTTAATTTTATTTATACAGCGAGCTGCTTTATGTTGTAAGATAAAGATGCTACAATAATACAGAAAACCCCCCAACAATCAGATGACACCTGAGCACTTGGCAACAGTGGGAAGAAAAAACTCCTTTTTAACAGGAAGAAACTTCTGCAGAAGCATGCTCAGGGAGGGGCACCCATCTGTTAGACCAGTTGTGGGGGCAGGGGGGCGGGGGGAGACAGGACAAAAGACACTGTGGAAGAGAGCCAGAGATTAATAATTAAATATAGGGCAATGTATAAACACATGGTGAGTGAAAAGGTGTGACATTTGTAGATTTCCCACAGAAGTCTAAATCAAGCTTTAGTCAGGTTACGTGGAAGACTATGCTAAAAAGAGTTTTCGGTTATGACATAAGTTAAATTTAAACACAAGTTCTCTCAGGGGCAATACCAGTTTCCTCACACAGTCTAAAGGGAAGAGGTTAAATGGATGTTATATTTCAAAGCTATTTTACTACTGTACTGCCTGCTGTATCACAGGAGTGATGTCATTTGTCTTTTCTACGGTAAACTTTGAGCGATCACTCTAGGTGGAAAGGCCAATAAATTATCGTCCTTTAGCGCCACCGCGTGGTTGACCTGTAGTATTACAGCTGACATCTTTTTACACTATAAAATCATAATTATCGTTTTGTCTGTACAATGTGGGCCGTACTGAGTGTAGTTATTAATACATATGCACTGTTGTTTCTTCACATTTTTATTAAAACACATATCACATTATCTCTCTATTTTAAAAAAAACTATACATTTATCCAGCTTATTACGTTGTTTTTTTATTCCTGTGTATTATAATACGTCATGTATGTCACATTGAATTCAGCTTTTTTAATATCTTTTTTTTTCTCTTGAGGCTATCTAAAAAAACAGCGAATCGCCTCCATGTGAGCCTCGCTGTGAGTTCCAGTCGGATGGTTTTGTGAGCGAACAGGAAGCAAAAATTCCCCTGCGTTTAAATACCTACAAATACCAAAGTGTTTAAAAAGAGGAGACACTGGCAGCACTGCAGTGATGTCGGTGTGATGATACGTGATTAAAGCTGCTGCTGCTGCTGCTGATGGTCGGGTCGTCACGTATTGCACGTAGCGGATAGGAAATGAGGAAATAACCAGGAAGCTGACAGCAGATCACCTCCTCCTCACAGCTGCTGCTGCTGCTTTCATTCACACGTAGCTACAGAGAGAAGCTGCAGTTTGTCAAGCAGAGGTCCGTGGAAACAAGAAGGGTCGTCATGAAACTGGTGGTCATCGTCCCCCTCCTCCTTCTCCTCGAGGTGTCCGGATACGCAGAGTGCAGGTGTTTCTGTCAGGTGAGTGCTGGACGCGGTTCTGACTTACTTCCTACATTGGTGGGATTATTTGACCGGGTTACAGGTAACTTGTACTGATTCATTTTACATGAGTGTCGGTTTTTATGGCTACCCTTAAATTCCAGACTGTGAGTCAATGGCCTCAAAGTCATTTTGAATGGTAGGAGGAAATAAAAAAAACAACAACAACCAAGTAAAGTTGGTTTGATAGTACCAAGTAACTGGAGTTCACTTCTTGTGTATTGATTTCATTTTAATGAGGTTTTTTTTACATTTGCTTAGTGTTGTTGTTGTTGTTGTTGTTGTTAGTGAATATATCAGTAACAATACAGTTCTGTTAAAACAATTGTGGTTTGGCCTAGGCCCCTGCATTAAATGTGAATCGGCAGTAAGTAATTTCTTTATTTCTGTGTAATGTCACACTGATGTTGTTGCTTATAAATACCAAGTTTTGTAGTTGAGCACCCTGGAGGCGAGGAAACTGCCCATGTTTTGTAACAGTGAAGGTGCTATGGTCTAATTCCCCTCATATTTTGATTACTTAAGAATTTTTCTTGTGTACACATTACATTGATATTCAGATCTATACTTTATTGACCCCACAAGGAAAATGACTGTTGAATAAAAATAAATAAAAATAGTACAGTCTACTATTGAAACTCTTTACAGTGTTTTCCAATCTTACTTCGGCTTGCTCTCAGTAGCATACTACACTGTACACTGGATAACCAGCTGTTTGCCTGTTCCCTCTACATCAGGTGACAGGCGACCTGGATGACTGCACGTGTGATGTGGAGACCATCGACCGCTTCAACAACGACCAGCTGTTCCCAAAACTCCAGAGTCTTCTTGAGTCTGATTACTTTAGGTTCTACAAGGTACGAGGGACTCATCCACCACACATACGTATACGCACATCTGTGGGTGAGGTCTGTTACTCTGAATGTGTGTTTGGCTTCCATCCTCTGCAGGTGAATCTGAATAAACCGTGTCCTTTCTGGACTGCCAGCAATGAGTGTGGTCTGAGGGACTGTGCTGTGCAGCCCTGCTCTCCTGTGAGTTTAACCCTCATATAGCAGTTGTAAACAGACTTTTACGCCCCCCCATTCAACCTGCTGTTAATGTCTGATCACTGTCTGCATAACTCATAACGATAGAGCCGTGCATTGGCATTGTTTCTTGTGAACCAACCTAATTGCTTTTGCATATCAAAATTAAATTGAGGGTGCAGCCGTTGTGTATTTAAATATCAAGTGTAAATGCAAAGACCTGTGGACTAGATTTAAATATCATTAAAAAAAACAAAACTACAAAGATTACCTATTAATTCCAGGTGAAAGAGGAGAAATGGTCACATCAGACTGACTGAAACTGTCTATTCACAGAACGAGGTGCCCGAGGGGCTCCGATCCGCTCCCCACAACAAGGTGAGTATCTCAGGATCAGTAAGTGGCACAAACTGGCTGCGACTTAGATGGTCTCTTTATTTGTGTCCCATTTATTTCATCAAATCTGACAACAGTTTACATTAATCCTCAGTAAACTTTACATATGGAGAAATATGTAAAGGTTACTGAGGATTAATGTCACTTTGGAAATGAATCAAAACTGGAGTCATACAGTAAGTAAACACACCCTCGTGCAATTTATCACTTAAATGCCAGACGACTCAAATACAGTTATTAAGAGGTGATGCAGATTCTTCAGTATTAACAATGTGTGTCGAGTCAGTGCAGTCTCTTCCAGTTACAGGGGAAAAATAGTGTAGACAGCTTCTAATTGATGAGTGCATCTACTGTGATGGGTTAGAGAGGAGCTGCTGTAAAGCCTTGAACCTTTTTGCTGTCAGCATCTTGTTTTGTGTTTTGTAAAAAGACGCAGGAATCTGTATGGAATTATTTATATGTCAAAAATCACGTGTGAGAAAAAGCATAATCTGAGCAAATAACTCCATTTCATTGCCATGTTTTCCTTTACATTTCAGAACATCCATCTTTTATATCCCATGAAGTCTATGGAAAAAAGCATTGCTTCTTCATTCTTTAGAGAGGGCCTGAGAGATTTCTCTCAGATTGTGAAAGGGGTCGCCAGAGTCACTTGTGCAAAAGGAAAACAAACAAAAACAAAAGAAAATCCAAAATGACAATCCCCTCACAGCTCTCCCCCAAACTCAGCATAAAGACACTCTTTCCCATAATTATCTCTTCTTTTTCTTTTTTTACTCATCCTGTTGAACCCATATGGAAAAGATATATATAAATCTTATAAAGTTTGTATCTGTCTTGTGTGAAACTTGTATGAAAAGCACATAAGAGTGAAAACAGATATAAGATCCCTTGAAAAATTATATAATGAAACTTGTATGTTTTGGATACTTACTAAAACAATGTATGAAAGTAATGAGAAAGTGGCCACTTTCATGAGTAATCACATATAAGTTTTTACTATTTCTTTTTCATATGGGAAGACCTGATGACCTTTAGCTGCGTTGAGCATCCGTCCATCTTTCCGTTAACCCATTAACAATTTTTACAAGAGTCACTACTGCTTCTACAGCACAATTTAATCAAACCTTTACACAGTCAACAAAAAACTGGTCTTCATTGAAACTATTGTCAAGGTTTCATTTTTTTTCTTCAGAGTTTTGAGATTTAAAAAAAAAATTCACTGATGCAGAACGTAGTTGAACCTTATTATTATTATTATTATTATTATTACCTTTAGCTTAGAGACAGATCCACACTGCTGCTTAGCTGCCAAAAACATTTTATTCTCACAGTGTGGCCATATTTTTGGATTTGTGGCTAATGTGACAGTTTTGTAAATGTAATGTACTGTACTGTAGCACATTTTGCTTTTTATAAAGACTAATTTTGTTGTTGTTGTGGGTTTTACAGGAGGATGTAATGTTTAAAATTAAAACAAACAAACAAAAAGATCATGGGATTCTAAAACGTTTTATTTGCTAGTGCACTAGAGCACCTTTTTGCCACAATAAAAAACGTTTCTATGTTTAATGCTCGACATGTATTATAAAAAAATGTAATAAATCACATTTTTACATCATGGCATTAAAGTGAACAGGTTTATCTGCTGTATTGTGTTAGCAGTTAGCAGTTTTGTTACTTTCACTTTCAGTAATGCTGCTTTAGCTTCCTGCTGTTAATGAGTCATCACAGCAAGTTTGATAGAATATAGCTTTGCTGCCCCTCAGATGTTCTCAGTAATTCATAGAATTGTAAATTTAAAGTGTGTGTGTGTGTGTGTGTGTGTGTGTGTGTGTATGTGTTTGTGTGGTGGGTGTGAGTGCGTGTGTGTGTGTGTGTGTGTGGTGTGTGTGTGTGTGTGGGTGTGTGTGTGTGTGTGTGTTTTTTTGTGTGTGTGTGTGTGTGCGTGTGTGTGTGTGTGTGTGTGTGTTTCAGTATTCAGCAGAAGCGAACGAGCAGCAGGATGAGTGTGAGAAGGCGAAGCATCTGGGAGCTGTAGATGTCTCATTAAGGTGAGTCTCGTTCATTTTGCTCAGTTCTTTTCTTCTTCTAAAAGTGACTTTTTGACATTTTTTCATTCAGATTGTTCTTTTGAGTAAATTGTGCACTGCATTGGATGAAACTGTCTGGAAGGCGATTGGGTGGTGAGCATACAAGGCATAGTTCGGGTGAAAGCTGCTTCTTTAGCCTGAAGAACCATACTCGTTATCTTTGCTATTGGGAACAAAATCATTAATATATAACTCAAATTATTTTCTGGTAACACGTTCAAGCGGGATACCAAAGTAGGATTTAACTTTCTTTTCTGACCTATGAACCTCCACACTGAGGTTGAGCACAACTAAGCCAACTGAGTGCTCTCCTTTTTGTTCCCAGCGCTGAGACCAGAGAGGCTCTGCTCGACTGGAACAAATATGACGACGAAGCAGAACGCTTCTGCGTGGTTGACGGTACGTCTCAGTCCAGCTGAATGAAGGAAGAAGCAAATTTGATACATTTTGATTACCAAAAATAATTGCTAATTGACACTAGGCAGAAATATGATAGTCAAATGCTGTAGATTGTAAGGCAACATGTGTACGTCAACAACAAAGTTAAAGAATGAAAATGTTTTGGAAACATAACAGATTATTTATCTTAGCATAACTGAAAGGGAACATAAAGAAAAGATAGTATGTCTTGTTTTTGGTAAGGGGATATGATTACAAGAGACATTTTTAGGGAATGTAATGCTATGTTTGAGCAGTATTGGGACTGACTGTAAAACATACTCCAAGGAGTAGTTTTAGGAAACATGATTCAAGCAATTACAACACAGAAGATGGTGCAACATGTAGAAAATGTAATGAAACACTAGGATCCATTTCTCCAAAACCTTTGTGAAATGCTAGTGGGTAACTCCTCTTTCCTGAATAAATCCCCTCCACCACCACCCTCTGCTACATTCTGTCACATGTGGCTGACAAAAAAAGATGTTTTCATTATAATGACTTGCAGCTGAATAAAGGCTTGCTCTTTTCCAGATGAAGAGTCACCAGACTCCCAGTATGTCGACTTGCTGCTGAATCCAGAACGCTTCACAGGCTACAAAGGACCAGAGGCCTGGCAGATCTGGAACAGCATCTATGAGGAGAACTGTTTCAAGTAAGCGTTCAGAGCCCACAAAATAAGTGACTGTAGTTTATACTTTAGCGTGATTCACAGTTCAAAAATAATCCCCAGTTATCTCACACTGGGACTTAGAGGTTGTTACCTCTTACTTCATCTCCTGTTTGAAATTGATTGCTTTAGCTCACTTTCAGCCAAGTTTTGAGGAGCAGGCGGATGGCTCTTCAATGCTCACAGCCATAGAGGTGTCCGCAGTGACCATGTTAGGGACATCTATATCCTCTGACATCAGAATAGTCTGAAGCCTGAGCTTTGGCTCACAGGGATGATTTGTATATAGAGTGACATCATGTTGCCATGTTTACTATCAACATCCACCACTGTGACCACCCTGTAATGAAAAGGAAACCTTTATGTGTCCTTCTCAGACCATATACTATCAAACGACCACTAAATCCCACCTCATTCCAGAGCAGCCCAGGAAGTGAAGGTAGGAATTCTTCAGTGTTATATCTCACCATTTTTCTAAAACAATCGCAGTTTTGTTTTGTTTTCTCCATTTCTGATGACACGTACTTTGTTTGCAGCGAGGACCTTCTACAGCTGGCTGGAAGGTAAGCTGATGCTACACCTTAAGATTCTCTTTTTGTCGAGTTTTCGATAAATTCTCTGCCTTTCTCTCTCAGGCCAGTGTGTGGAGAAAAGGGCTTTTTTCCGGCTTGTCTCAGGTCTGCACGCCAGCATTAACATACACCTGAGTGCCAGATATCTGCTGGATGGTGAGGCAGAAAAAAACAGCCCTTGTTCATTTTCTTTTTCCTTTTGTCTGAAGAGTCAAAATAACTGACACTCACTTTTATTGCCTTCTTTCCTTCAGACAGCTGGTTTCAGAAGAAGTGGGGTCACAATGTGTCAGAGTTCAGACAGCGTTTTGATTCGGAGCTGACGGTCGGCGAAGGGCCCAAGAGGCTCCGCAACCTTTACTTCCTTTACCTGATAGAGCTGCGAGCACTGGCTAAAGTTCTGCCGTTCTTCCAGCAGTCATCCTTCCAGCTGTACACAGGCAGACCCGAGGAGGACCAGAAACACAAGGAGCAGCTGCTGGACATCCTGCAGCTGGCCAGGTTGGTCTCAGACCACACCAATCATTGTTAGACTTTCACTGAATAAAGGTATAATACAGCATGCCCTTTTTTTCTTGATACCTAGTATTCATGTTCTATAAATGAAAGATCAACCATATTGTGTTTTTTAGCAGGTAATTTCACTCAAAGTGCGCTAATTAGAAATGCCTGATTTGATATAGATTTACACTCAGGTTGTCAAGGTGCAGCTCGAAGATCTTGCCCTAGTTCTGCTGTGGATTTGACCCATGAAGCTGAGATCAGGGCAACTTGATGGTCAGATCAACTTCTGCAAGAGTCCTTGTACTTCTCGTGGCTGAAGTTTTCCTTGTGGCTCTGGCCATACGCTTGCCCTCGCTGTCATGCTCCAGAGTGAAATTGGCACGAGTCAAATAGCTTATTGATAACATCACTGTCAGTGATGTCTGTCAGTGCACCCCAGGGCAGCTGTAGCTACAATGTAGCTTGCCATCGCCAGTGTGTGAATGCGTGTGTGAATGACTGAATGTAGTGTGAAGCGCTATACAAATGCAGGCCATTTACCATTTACCATGAATGTAAACATCTGAACTGTATGGTTTCTGATCAGAAAAGTGGATGTGGATGGGTGGTGTTAGAAAGAAATGAGCTCTGTTAGCACTCTGGGAAATGTAGGCAACAGATTCTGACATATGACACCTGTGGTTTTACAGCAATGCTTTTTAAAGTCCAACAGTTTAATCACAGTCCCTGCCAAGGTTAATATAGTTAGCCAAAAATAAACTGAAAACTACAACTAGATGTGAGAAAGTGTTGTAGTTCACTAATAATAAAAATAATAATAAAATAAAAACTAGACTTTTGAAAAAATTCAAACTAACTGGAGTGATTTTGAGAACTAACTAAAATGAAATACAAATGTCATTATAACTTGCTTGATAAGTCATGGATAGGTGTGTTTATTATAAACTGTGAGTCAACTGCTTTCAAGAAGTTCAGCGTGTTTATATTATTACACCTGTACCAATATCCCCAAATCTTGCCTCTGGCATATGCCCTCCTTACAGTGATCACTAAAAAGACTAAAACTAACACTGCAACTAATAAAAACTAAACTGAAAAAAGAAATTGTACTCTTGAAACTAACTGAAACTACACTAAATTAATAACAAAAAGTCCAAATGAAATGACAATAAAAGCTAAAAACAAATTAAATAATACAACACTGTACTAACTCTGGTCACTTCTTCGCACTTCACACTTCTTTCTTTATTAATCTCTGTCTTTCTTCCACAGCACGTCTTTTATCCTGTCTTCCTTCTTTTACCGCAACCGGTCAGGGCAGATTATTATTATTATTATTATTATTATTATTATTATTATTATTATTATTATTATTGTATGATCGACCTTACAATATAAAGCACCTTGCAGCGACTGTTGTTGTGATTTGGAGCTGTATAAATAAAATAAAATTGGACTTCCATGCAATGTTTTGATGACGTTCATCTCCTCGTTTCTAGATCTTTCCCTTTGCACTTTGATGAGGCTTCTTTGTTTGCTGGGGATGAAAAGGAAGCAGCCAAACTGAAGGTCAGCAAGTGTTTCAAACTCTGCTGAAGTTATTGTTAAGTTATTGATATTGTGGACGTAATGCACCAACTGATTACATATTCACAGGGATTAATATTAATATTTTCAGAATGCTCCCCATCCATATTTTTGATTGTTTGACCTCATAAAATTCAAAATGATTTATAATTAACCTTCTGGTTTAACTGCATAAAAGAATTCAGTTGTATTCTAGCTACGCCAGTTAGAACTCTACGTGAAATTGTGCTGTAAAAACATTGATGCATCAAAAAATGCTCTAGCTGCAGAGTGAATGCAGATTCAGAGATACGGGGAAGCCGATGCTTTGAAACCTTTTATTGCATTAACAAAGCTGCTGGGAGTGATCTTGTGTACGCAGGGTTGCTGCAAACACACAGTAATACTGACTGGAGTTGCAGTTTTAATTTGTGTGGGTAACTTTCAAGATTTAAAATGACCTGAGTTTTCTGTGAATGTCAGGAGGATATCAGACTGGCCTTCCTCAACATCTCCAGGATCATGGACTGTGTTGGGTGCTTTAAGTGTCGCCTGTGGGGGAAACTGCAGGTACCTGTTACTTTCCTCTTAGTGCCTCTCGTTAGCTTGTAGCGCTTCTTTTGTAAAGATGAACTTGATTTTTTTGTTTTTGTTTGTTTTGATCGCTGCCTCTCTTGTGTCACAGACCCAGGGATTAGGCACAGCCTTGAAGATTTTGTTTTCAGAACGACAGATTGAAGCTCTGCCCAAATCCAGTAACCAGCGACCCAGTTTCCAGCTCAGCCGGCAGGAGATCGTCTCCCTGTTCAATGCCTTCGGAAGGTCAGAAAGAGAGGCTGTGGACATCAAGTCATACATGTGCCATTTTTAAAAAAATCTCCTTAGTTCCAGCTCACACCCACTCTGCTCCTTGGAGAGCTTTTGTTTCCTGCGCGTTAGTTTATTATTGTATCTGAAGCACTTTTAAAACCTGAAAATGATTTTTGGATATGATAAATGAGCACGCGCCATTTATTATTCAGAAGCCTTTGATGCATTTCCTTTGCGAAATCCTTCTTGAGCTGAGTGCTTGATCTATCAGGAAATTTAGACTGATATTTATTTGAGTTACTAAATGCTTACTTTGTGTGTAAATATAAAAGTAAGTTTAATCAATATCAAACTCCTAAGTCTGTCACTTTAGAACAAGTTTATCTCTATAATAGGAACTTACATAAGTGAGTACTGATCTTATTTGAAATTCACACTCATTTAAAATAAAAGTTAAATATGTTCAACATGAAATCAAAATAGTGCAAAACTTGCCTAAATTTTCTGTAAATTGAGGGTACAATATAATATTCGCAGAGAAACTGGGTTTAATATTAGTTAAAACATACTGGAGTATTTTTTTCATTATTTTGTACTTATTATTTTAACTGTGTCCTCATGAATCCTGCGCAGGATTTCCACGAGCGTCAGGGAGCTGAAGAACTTCAGAGTGCTGTTAGCAGAGGAGCAGTGAGGACATCCAGAGGAGTCTGCCTTCACCTGTTGACTCCTCTCTGATGGGGCTTTATTTCAACATGTGCACTTTTGAGGTCCCAGGCCACTAAATGCCATCTTTCCTACTGTCTTAAACCTGTTGAAATGTCGACTGCAAGATCAGCTTTAATCAGCCAAGTGTTTATTTTTCCTTAAAATAATGCATTCCTTTCTTTTGAATTAAACTAAAGTCATATTTAAAAAAACAAAAAACAAAATGACACTTTGTGGCATGGTTTAATGTTCCTTCAAGTGGTATCATTTTTTTGCTGATGGAGATTTTCAAATGCGCTTTGATCAATGAAATCACTTCCGTTGCTGTTTGGGAGCTGACTGCTAAGAATTCTGTCTCACCTGTTCACACCTGTGTTGTTGGGATTATGCTTTGCTCCTGAGGATGGCGCTGTTTGTCAAGAAAATAGATGAGAAACGTCAAATCTAAATTGAATGCGGGCCACAAATATGCAGTATGTCGAAAGGAAAACTATACAGGAATGGACACCAACGTTTAAAATCCATTATCACACTGATTCTCGTAACAGCCATCCTCTGTTTTCAGAGTCGCAGGTTTTCAGGTGCATGTCCAGAAGTTATAATGAAACCTGTTTCCACCTGGGAGGAAGGTTTTGTAAACCATTCAGCACAGATCCCCAAAATATTTATATACTGTTGGTAATATTCCGATTGTACATTGTATTTGTGTATAAGTTTGGAGATTTAAAATTAAAATGTATATATAAAAGTCATTTTATGAAAATGTAAACGGTAATAAAATTTTAAAATTATTTTTAAATGTTCTAAATTCAAAGCTGTTTTTTATTAAATAAATGTGAATATTTGTATTTGTAATTGGGCGTGGTTTGCGCTTCTGTGTTCAGTGCCTTGGTCAGAGAGTCTGCGATGGATGTGTGAGAACGCTGGAGGGCAGCATGCAGCCGCCCGCAGACAGTGAAGGGTTAACCTGTAATAGGATGAATGGATATTGTGGTGAGCAGCATCTGATTACACAGAAACGCCAGCAGGCACCGGAGGGGGGGAAGACACGTCCGTACACCTACCAGCACAGACGGCGTTTGGTTCCTGCCAGGGAATGCAAACGCGCTCTTTTTCCTTTTTAATTAGCGTTATCATTATTTTTTTTCCCCCTTTCTCTCAGCGTGCAGGCTAGAACTTTACTTTTCTTTTTCTTTTTTTTTTCTTTTTTAAACCGAGCCGAGCAGGAACCAAGCCCGCGTTATTATGGGAGTTTGTTGAAACAGTGCTGTGGCTGGAGGAGTGTAAATGGCTGAGAGAGCTCGACGGACGACTTGGGAGACAACTTGCAAGATGTCGCACTTTGTGGAAGCCTAAAAAAGGAGTATTTGTTTTTGTTTTTTACTCTTAGCGTGACAGGAGGTGGTGAAAGATTAGGGGAGAGGCTGCAGCTCAAGGAGGATCTGGTGTTGGTTTGTTCCTCCGGCTCGGAGAGAAATAGGTAAGGCTCCTCACCTGCCTGCTGTCTGCACATGTTCACACCCTGAACACTGAGAACACTTTGCGATGGGAAAACTGCCCAATGCAAGCAACTGGAAAGAAGTGCTGCTGTTTTATTGTCTGCTTTTTGTCTTCCCAAAATGTTTCCAGGTGTATTTCATAGACTAGTTTTAGTTATTATTAATCTACCTCTAAGTATAATCAGAAATACACCGTCTGTAATGAATATGTAAACATCCATGCAGTGACTATTAAACTTGCCATTTTTCGTATTCCCAACCAAAATGTGTAAGCTTATGCTTTAAAGGGGCACCAGGTGATTTTTGACCAGCAGGGGGCAGAAAAATCCCCAAACTCTCTACTTTACTTACGCAGCACCTCACCTGCTAAGACCATGTAGTAATTTAAATAGATTTTTAACTTTGTGCTATTATAATTCTGCCCTTTTGCTGCCCGTTGTTGTTGCTCATATTAATTAGTACCTGTAAGTGAGCCCAAAAAAAACATGAATAACACACATGACCCTTGCAAGGCACAGCTTTAGCAAAGTGTTATAACAGAAATGCAGACAATGGCAGGTGTAGTTATGCAGTCTTTTTCCCCTTTCAGTTTGTCCATTGTTAAAGTGGTTTACAACTGTGCCAGTAGTGCGCTCCTCCAGTTATACTAGGGACAAACCACAGGACTGAAGCAACAGAATTTTAGCAATGAAACAGTTAAATATATATGTTTAATGTTTTACATGAGGAAAAAAATATGCATACAGTGGCTCAAGTCAACTTAGCATGGAGAATTTGAGTTTGGGAAACAGTTACATGGTTGTCAGATTTACTGTTCCAAAAACTTTGATTTGCATCTGTAAACATAACCTGCACTAAAAGAGTGCAGGAATCGGGTTACTAGTGCTTATCATATGTATAAGAACCTGATTTCCCAAAATACTTAAGTCCATGCGAGTAAAAGAAGATGATTTAGGCATTTTAAAATGTGTCAGTGATCTGCCAGCATGAGAATTAAGATTTGAAGTAAGGTGTGGAGAAAGGAGCAACAAAATCATAATCAATTTTGTTGCTTTACCTTCATGACTTTAATGAAGTGTTGTTTCTGAGCCTCTGAAGAAAGTTTGAAGGCTATAGGAACCTCCCCCACCTTCAAGCTCTCTCCTGCCAAACAAGTTGAATTTCTTGGAAACATGAGATATGTCAACAAAGACTGTTCACTCCCTCCCAGTCTGTCAGATCACTTGTTCTTACATACTCCTTGAAAAGATGACCTCCCCCCCCCCAAAAAAAGTCAAAAAGCAAAGAGTGCAGGTCAGTTTGTTGACAGTAGAAATATTTCCGTGTGGCTCTATCGTGCAGACCAGGAGGATGAATCACTTATCAAGAAAGTTGCATGAACCTGTTAGCTGATAGATGATTTATTTTATCATTTCAGCTCTGTTTTCACAAACCCTGTTGTAGCTGCATTCATTCATGCTTGGGTTGAATTTTCTAGAAAGCGTGCTTCCATGCAGTCAAATGTGAACAGCAGGGGAAACAGGTTAATCTTCGGTCGTGTTGCCTGCAGCATGCAACAGATTATGCTTAGACTCCCAGGGCCTACATCCCGTTTGCAGGCTTTATGTTTCCGTGCTGAGCTGGAGGGAGCTGCCACGGAGGCTATTTTAGACCAGGATGGCCTCCGTGATGTGGTTCTGGTCTGGTTAGAAGTGAGCTGGGAGAACAGCTGTATGTGTGGGAACAAGGCTGAGTTGTCCTTTTCTTTGACTCAGTCTCTGGAACGCCATACTCTCTGTGATCTGCTTTCGTTTTTTCTGCTCTCACCTCTCACTGCCAGAGAAGCGTCACATGGTTTGCTGTCAGTTAGACACGGAGCCTCGGGCTGCAGGCAGCAGCTGTCAGACGGTACAGGACTGCCGTCAGTGAGCGGGAAAGCGAAATGTGGCCAAAATGCATGATTGCATTTTGGCCACAAATTGCTGACAGTGATGTTTGTTCTTAAAAATGGCTCTTTTCATAGTAAAGGTTGCTGACCCCTCCCCGAGATGGAGAAACCCCTATGCTTTCATCAAACTGTGTGGCTATTTGTTTCTATTTACAGGATGTTTTGGTTTGGATGAACACTGTTAAATAACAGTACTGGCAGCTAGATTTGACAACATACTGTTATTTTACAGTGTATCTACTGTGATCTAGCAGGTACTTCTTAATAGAGTAGGCAATTCTTACAAAAGTGAAAATTAAAATTATTAAAATACAGTGCTGCGTAGGATACATGCACTTTTTGGGTGTTCTTGCTATAATCTTTGTAATCAGTGCATAACTTTAAAACCTATTAAAGTGAGAACTGTATCCTCTCAGTTGGCATTTTCTGTTTTCTGTAGGTTTTCATGTCTTTCTTGAACCATAATACAAAAACAAGGTTCCTCACTGTTAATATTTTTCATCAAAATTACCAACATTTACAGCTGAACTCACCTGAACTCACAAGGAATATTACAGTTGTACAGATAATTGTGTATGCGCATGATTCCCGTAAATCTGGAAAGTTAGGTTAATGGATAGAACCACAACAGACACATTGATGGGGCAAGATTATCGATTAAAGATAAGAAATGACGATTTCCCGGTTTCATCACAGTATTGACCCAATTGATATTCTAATGATGGATTTGATTCATTTTTAGTCTAGTTGGCAGTGAGGATCTTAGATTTTTTTTCCACCTCTTCAGTCTGATTTGTGCTATTGTATTCTGAGTAATTACTGAAGTTATTCAAATATTATATCTGGAGAGATTTAGTGGATTTAGATTTATCTGCTGATTATTAAAAGAACAGAGCGGTTTAGAGAGTAACTGCATGTCAGTCGCTGCAACCATCTGTCGATGTGATAACCAACTTATTGTATCACAAATGTCACAACAACTGAGATTAAATGTCCTGAGTTACTAAACAAAACAGAGCTAGTCCTGCTTGTTTGGATAATTAGACTTCTTTGCTTTCTGATTGCTTGCTGCTGTCGAAAAATCTTCTACAAAAGAGCCTTGTGTTAGGCTGGTATGTTTTTTTTCTCCTTAAAATAGTAATTAATGTTACCAACTAACCACAGGGTTATAAATTTTGTTTTTATTTTTTTAAAGGCTTTCAAGTCTCTATAAGGTGGAAAAACCTTTTTTTAAAAGTTGAAATTTACAGTGTATGTCTGAACAAAGCAAAATCGCTGGTGTGGTCTTTTAACAACTTGCCACTCTGCTGCTAACTTGGTACTCTGGCAGAGGTATGAGTTAACTGCTCTGGCCTCCCCTTACAGGGGCTGCTGCTCTCTACCTGCTTCATTAACCCTCAACTACACACTCTATGTGTGGTATTTCACTGTGACTCCCAGAATGTGCTACCCTCCAGCCAGCACCGGGCCGATATAACAGGCAGCTTGCCTAGCTAACTAACTGCTTGCTGCTTTGCTAACAAACCCCTCTCTCTTTGTCTCTGTGTGTGTTCTCCCTTTGCTGTTGCTTCTGCCCCAGTGGGATCTTCCTGCCCCTCTGTGTTTCTCAGACCTGCGGAGACGGAGGCCGTCTTCTGTTTGGACATCTGTCCATCTCTTTTTTTTCGTCTCTCATAAGGTAAGTTTTGCTGTCGCTCTGGGCTCCGTATGGGAACAGTGTGTGGTTTGTGTGCTGGATATACACTGTTCATAATCATGCCCATTGTGCCCCTGTAACATTTAACATGCTGCGCTTGCTCTCTGTCTCATCTGTCAGTAGCTTCCACCCGACTCCTACACATAATCCACTCAGTTTGTTGATGGTATCTGCTTGCAGCCCTGCAAAGCTCCACAATATCTCTTTAAGTCTGAAGACATTAGAAACGCATCAGCTCAATGAGTGAAGACAAAAAAATTAAACTACACATTTAAAAGTTGCGTAAGAGTCAACCACCTCTCGTCCCACCTTTCTTTAAATGATTCCTGTTTTGTGGAGATGCCTCTTTAGTGTTGCCACATGCAAACTTAAGCTATTCTTTGCTGGAGTCATGGGTGTGTTGGTATAGCAGAAGTTGTTAAGTTGTTTAGCAGTCTGACAGCCTGACAGAGAAATGTGCTGAACACTTCCCGCGTTCACCGTCCAAACGTTAGTGACAACCATGGCCGCTTGTTTCCTTCATGTTTAGAGGCTTTGTGCTAAACTGTACATTTTAATTCCTTCACACGAATGACTTGAGAAGATATTTTCTTATCAAGTCAAACAGTACTGACATGAACAGAAAGCATCTAGAACAGTCTTTAAAATATGAAAAGTCCTGTTTTAGGGAGATTAGCATTTAGGGGGGGCTGCTGTTGTGTTTTTTTTGTTGTTTTTTTTTGTTGTTGTTTTTTTAAACCTGACATGACCATGAAATTTTAGCTGGGCAGCTAAGTAGCGCTAATAGCTAGCATAATTTAAATCTGCATTTCATTGTGATACAAACTTGTGAAGCAAAAAACAGGCTGAACAACTATTGTTTTAAACTGAAAGCTAAACATGATGAAACTGCACCCATCTGTCACTTAAAACAACCGTGCCATTATCTTCCTTTAGTCTAGGGTTTAATTTAAGCGACTCTGTATAAATACTCAAACATCACACACTTGTCATAAGTGGAAATCAGCTATAAAGGGAAATCATTTTAAGTCTGGGCTTGCTTTTAGGACCAGTTTTGCCTTTTAGTTTTTACAAATGTAAATTTCCACTGTAAGGAGAAAAGTTCCACAAGTTTTTTGTTTGTTTGTTTTCAGACTTTTTTTTTTTTTTTTTTTTGGGGGGGGGGGAGAAATATTTGACTTCCTGATTTGTCCTCAGTAGCCATTTCCAGCTAAAGATAGTTGTTTATTAAAGCCAAACGTGATGACTTTCAGAGTATCCCATATTGTGGTTTATTGTTGCCAACAGCAATTATTATGTAATCACTGTGAGCATGGTTAACATTTTCTTTCTTTAAACAGTCTCTCATTTTGCTCAGAATCACACAGCAGTGGTCTGATACACAGCTAGTTCCCAGGCTCTCATATGCAGCCAGCTGCTGGCAGGAACTGGAGCAGAGAAGAATCTCCAAGTGCTCCTCTTTTTAGAGGTTTAAAGCCTCCGGGTCCTCATCAACCTACAGTGCATAATCTCACATACTGAGACGTAGCTGGAATGCAGACGAGCTTTCAGACTAGTGGTCGCGTGGGCCTCCCCAGGCTTCATGTGTAGGAGCACTGCACTGGCACTGCTGCAGGGAAACTGTTGGTTTACATTAATCAGATTAGTGGCCATGAGTTTTCCAGTGGGGCTTATGAGGTCTGGACCTGCCTCTCTATCTCATCCCTCCCTCAGCTGCTCTTTCCCCTCCTCCTCACTGGTCTGACCCACTTCTCTAAAAACCAACAACCAGAATCTCCTTCTGTCTCTCTCTCTTCCCATCACCCACCTCTTTAACAGGGACACATTAGATGCACAGGTCAATAGATTGTGTACTGGATGAGATGATTTTTCCATTTTTTGTCACTGATTGCTGTGCTTCTCAACAGAGGTGCTCTGTATAAAAAATTAAATAAACTAAGGAAAAACTAATGAGCAGTCTGGTCTAGGCTTAGAGATATCTAATCTTTCTTACTTTCTTGGGTTTTCATCAAAGTGTATAATGGTGTTTATGATTTTAAAAGAAATGAAGGCAAAAAAAAAAACTGCTTTGTAACAGAAGTTATTGTAGCTAGGGATGTGATGGATTAGCTGGCAAGGCTACTAATCTTTGTGACCCCTGGGAAATGTTTTTTGTTACAGTTGTTATTATTAATACCACCAACACCAATTTGCTGTTGTTTTACCCAGCACAGAAAGAAGGGTCCTGGTGCTGGCACTGTTAGTGTTGTTTCCACTGGTATCTTATTTTTAATTTAACTGATAAGCAGATCGGGCAGCACGGTGGCACGGTGGATAGCACTGTTGCTGCACAGCAAGAAGGTCCTGAGTTCAATTCCAACACCAGGCCGGGGTCTTTCTGTGTGGAGTTTGCATGTTCTCCCCGTGTTTGCGTGGGTTCCCTCCGGGTACTCCGGCTTCCTCCCACCGTCCAAAGACATGCAGCTTGTGGGGATAGGTAATCCAAATTGCCACTAGGTGTGAATGTGCGAATGAATGTGAGTGTGAATATTTGTCTGTCCCTGTGTGTTGGCCCTGCGACAGACTGGCGACCTGTCCAGGGTGTACCCTGCCTCTCGCCCTATGACAGCTGGGATAGGCTCCAGCGCCCCCCGCGACCCTGAAAAGGATATAGCGGAAGCGAATGGATGGATGATAAGCAGATCATGACCTGTGGACACCCTGAATTCTTCCATAGGCTTTTTCAGGTGGTTTTGACTGTTGTTCCTGCAGCACACGGTGTGACAGCCCCCTGCTTTCTAAAGGCAAATAGTTCACGCACTTCCATGTTGGCCTTTTATCAGTGGGTTCAATTTGCAGTCACCTGTTTCACAGCTCACTGAGCTCAGCTAAATTTATATCAGGGTACTTAGAAATGGTGTTTATTTAACTGACAGGATTGAAGAAGTTATGGATGCAGGGGCGCAACCAATATTTTTAGTGGCCCCATATGGCCACCCCTATGAAAAAAAATTATGGAGGCGTCCCTGTGTGGATGGCAGCACTTACGATAGAGTTATATAATAAAATAAAAAATCAACTTAAATCTATGAATAGTGAGTGATAGTTATGTTAAATTACAAGTCTTAGGTGTGCTAAAAAGTGAAGCTTAAATGTATCAGCTGATAAAATTGAAAGATTAAATGTGTGTTTTAGTGCTTTCTGCCACTTTTTTTTGTGTTTGTTGTGCTTTGAATGTCAGTTGTAACCGCTGTGTGTCCAGTCCATGTATTTTTTTCTTCTACCCCGTCAGAATCAAGTGTTTTATTCATCACATCAGTTTAATATGTAGTCACTCTGAAAGTTTACTTTATACATATATGATGGTAACGTCAAACTTTTGGTCCACCGCATTGGTCCACACTGAAATATTAGTTGGACAATTTAACGGCTTGCTCTGAAATTCTTCAAACAATACACTACCTACCTACCTACCAACCTTACCCCTTAGCCACATGAAGTACAAAGAGGCCAGCAACAGATGGTCTGCCCTGATCTCGGCATCGTGAAGTCAGTCTGGGATTACTTGAAGAGACAGAGGAGACCAAGACGGACTAAATCCAAATAGAAAATCAAGCAAGTTCTTCAGTGCTGGTTTGTAGCTAGTTCTGACTTAGCGCCGTTTCAGAACCAGAATGGATTTCAAGCTGTTGAAATGAAAAACACTGAGAATGGACAATGTGATGCATCTGTGAATCATCTATGAATTTATTGCAGTAATGTAGTGATTCAAATGAAATACAGGACGCTTGAAACAACAGCAACTGGCACCCCTTCAAGCAACAATTCCAGCTGTATTTTGCAGCGGTAGTGTTACTGCTTGCAGTAGCAGCTCTCAAGCTTTTGAAGTATGCATCACATTTGTATATGAGCCAGATGATAAAGAGAAGTTTGACAAAAGTTATTTAAAAGTTGTAGTAAGAAAGAAAGGCATGTCGCAGAGATTCATTAAGAGATTAAACTCATTCTTGCTGGCACAAGCTAACCTTTTCCAGAAATGGGGACACATTTAAGAATTTTTAAAAAATTATTATTATTAGTAGGACCCTTTTTGTTCTTGTAGCACTTTTTCTCTTTTTCCCCTTCATTTTGTCAGTAATCAAAGATGAACCAGACCTGTTCTCTAAATAATGGATTGAAGGATAAAATGACTGATGTTTAAGAGTTGTGTGGTGAGACGGATGCCTTAGGACAGAAGCACAAGGAGAAGTTGAGGTGTAGATTTTCTATTGCTGGTGTCATTTGATATGTGATTGATTTATTTGGCTGACTGCATCCATGTTTTGTTCACATGTGCACTTCTGCTTGGTTAATCATGCTTGACAAACCGGCCTAACATGCTTTATGAGTTTTGTTGCTGTGCTGTAGAAACCACATCAAAAAGTTCTTGTGTGTGATGTTGTGATAAACCTCCTATTTCTAGCTGCTCTGTGTTTTGAGTAGTTCAAAAACATCTGTCTTAAGTCACATTTGAAATTTGCTAAGCTTATCAAGAACAGTGTTCATCTTGCGGATGCATCTTATTGCTCGTCTGTCACATTTGACACTCTTGTGTTTCAGTCTTTAACAGCTTTGTGGCTCCCATCACCTGCTGTTCTGTGCAGGTCAGGCCTGACGGTCTGCTGCCCTGTTTCAGATCAAGGATTGGATTCCTTCAGGTGGTTAATGGAAAAACTAAATGAAAAACTGAGCCTGAGGCCACTCTGACAAAACATTCTTTCAGCTGCGATGGAAGACATCTTTCAAAACATTTCAGTGAGGGAACAACTCGCCTGGATCTGCCCAGAAGTAATTATGCCCTATTATAAAGCAGAGCCAAATTGTATTCTTAGACTCTACCAGAGTAGCTTTGCATGATTTACTGTTCAAAATAATCCTTATTTAACTCGTACTGTGCCTTGGGAAAACACCAAAGTTTATTCGTTATCTGAAATAAACAGTTTTAGTATCTCTTTCTCTTTACC